TCCGAAAGCCGCAGGAAAGGTAAGACAGACGCAGACTACGTTGCGAGCAGACGACGTTGCAAAGGAACAGACGACGCTCAGATAGGGGGGTAGCGATCAGCGAATCAGAGCTCGGCGTTCTGAAGTCACCGCTACCCCCTGCGCAGGAAGCAGACGAACTTGCCCTCCGCATACACTTTTATGTTGTACAAGGAATGCACCTTGGATCCCTAGACAGTGCCAGAGAGGGATCGAGAATGCAAAGTTTGGAGATGTAAAAATAAGTACAGCATATCTTGATCAAATTATAATCAATAGTGCAGTACTTCTAAAATGCTTTATTTCTCGTCGAGAAACTTATTTCTGGCCAGTTCCAAGCCAAGGAAAGAAAAATTACCTTTAAGACAAATAGGTAGAAAATCATCCAAGCGTGTGCGTGGTCAGATTAACAAAACAGAATAGCATAAGCAGGCGTTTACATCTGTGTAACCAAAGTAAACAATATTTACTTTCGCGCAGTCGAGGAGCCATCAGCTGACAAAGATTGGTATGAACGGTTTGGATCTCAACTGAAACGCGGCGTTTCTGTCGCTCAGTGCCACACCACTCATTGTGAAGATTCCAGCTCTTTGTTGTATGATTGCATCGCAATGTTGCAGCAAACAAAGTGAAACACTGCACCACTACGCGGGTTGACGACGCCTACGCACATCTGTCGACGGAGAACGAATCCTGGCTTGTAATTCCGATTTTGAGTGAATCAACGGGCTCTTGTAGCCGTTAGAGCACTTCCTGTGGTTTTGAAATAGTCTTCTGTCTTTCAGCCAAATCTCGAACAGTTTCAGCACGTTTCCGACACATGAGCACGCAAAGCGAGAAATGCAAGAACATCGCACATCCTGCGCAGCCAAAAGAACGGCGGGAAATTTTAGATACCCTGTTGCCAGTGTTGTCCGGCGCTCTCTCGGTCCAAACAAAACCAAAACAACAAAAAACAAGCACTTGCCGCGCTGCGGAAGGCTGCGGCCGCCATTAAAAAGGCGCGCATGTGGCTATACATTCTGGTTAACTCTATCTTTAAAAGTTATAGGAACATTGGCTTCAGTCTTCATCATGGTCGCCACCACGGAGCGCCGTAAAGGGGGAAGGGAATGCACAAGAAACGGCGCACGTACCCCCCTCCCCTGCTATGGATATTGGTACACGCCGCCGCGCGGCGCCTGTTTTCATTAGCCACGTGTCCCTTGCTTCAGGAAGCTCCAGAAATGGAGGTAAAGCATTCGTTGCGAATTCAGGTAAAGCTTCACATAACTGGCAACAATTTTTTAAAGAACCAAGATGGCTGGAGAATCGTTGTTTTTTCTGCCGCTGTCGCATGGGCGCTGTCATCTTCGAATCACGTGGTGCGGGAACTGTGAGGTGTTTTTCAACTCTAGCTTCAGCTTCTCGCTCCGCTCGCCCCTCCGCACCTTGGTGAATGCATTTCGATTTTTTCGTCACGTGTCACCGAGTTTCTTTCCTTACTCTGTGAACTATCGTGTGGTGCCTGTGTTTGCAGCCGAACAGCATGCCATCCTTATCAGCACAACTTATACAGTTGACGTTCTAACAAGTTTTGACGTATTTTCAGGGTCTGCCTACAGGATACGCGTAAAGGTAGATCAAAATCAGCGTTAATACTAACGCACATTGAGTGAGGTATACGTGAGTTTAAAACAGTTGGAGCGTTAAAATGTCAATTTGTTATGGCAGAGCATGTCTGGTAGTGACGTATCCGCAAGAAAAAATGTATATTATGCGGTGTGTCGAACCAAAAAAAATACGGGTTCGGTTACGGTTCAGGTTCAGGTAAATTTATTTTGTTCCGGTTCAGTTCCTGTTCAATTAATTCGATCCGCGAACCGGTTCGCGAACGGGTTCGGGGCGCTGAACCGGTTTGCGAACCGGTTCGGAAATTATAAATGACAAATTGCAACATCAAAATAAATTACAAATAAAACATCTGAAATCAGCACATACGAAACGGGATACATCGTAGCGTAAGGCTCAGGGATTTCTGCCAGGAATGGTTTCTTTATGTGCACTCAAAGGTTACCTCACCGACGTTTACGCATTCGGACTTCATCTAATTGGGTCCGACGCAGTAGCTGTAAAATCCGCGACCTCCTTACAAACCCACTTACAAGTAGAACTCGCTAACTATCCCGCCACCTCGGCGTGTAAGCAATTGAAGGAACAGTGGGGAGAAAATACAGCTTTCTTTATTTGAACTAGCCTTCGGTAACTCAAATTAGACCATTAAAGAAGTTTTCATTAGACAAGATACGGAATATGAAAAACGCTTCACCGAACGCAACGCCAAAAGGACGTAATAGGATAAATATGAAAATAGAAGAGTTCGCTGTCTCACAAATATGTTAGCTTCTAAGTGCCTATACGAAACCGGATGCATCGTGGTGCTGGCTTTCGTCAGCGGCCGCCACTCGCACAAAACTAACTACACCACACACTATATTCCCTGGACGTCTAAAGCGATGCGGGAGAAGGTAACCACTTCTGTTCCAGTGACCACGTGGTACTATGAGGTGCTGCTTTATGACGTAGGTTATTCTCTCGCAAAAAAAAAAAAAAAGAACTTGCCACTGATTGATCTTTTTTCAAAAATAAATACATAATTGTATTTAAGTGGCGTTAAAATTGGTATCATTGTTATTGGTATAAAGCCGTTTTTTTTTCAAATACCAGCTTGTTTTTGTTTTCGTGGCCCCTTCAACAGCTTCGGCAGGAACCAAAATAAGCACTAGTCTGCAACTACAAAAAGGTTAAGGATACCACAAAGCGTAGGACGACCCGGGAAATTTTCCATTTCCCGCTTTTGTTCTCTACTGCGCAAAAATTTGCAGTTTAGGCAAAGTCGTAAAATTAGAAACGCAAGGAATGCGCAGGAGAATAAATCCCAAATTCCGGAGTGTACACCGAAAACGGTACAAAACAAACGGTCTCCTGGAAAGATTACCACAGAAACGGAAGTTTGAAACGAAGTTGTGTATTTATTCACTCAAATTGTTAACCACGAAAGGATCATATCAGAATGAAATATCCCTTTCAATCCGTTATAGACAACGTACATCTGACTGGGAAAACATTAGTTATACAATAACAACAATAACGCAATATTGATAAAAACCAAACTTGGTATTATTTATTTTATTATTTCAAAATACTGCGACCTCGATGAGGTCATCGCAGGAGTGGAGAGAAAACATACATATACATTCAAAAAGACAATCGATTAAAGATGTACACACCCTACAAACAAAACTTAGAAAACCTTGAAAAATGCAATATCAAAAGATTACAAAAACAATCACATACACTTCAAGTACAGGCACCATACCAGAACACCTACTGTATTTCTAACACAAACTTATCAAAATCGAGACAACGAATGGATCCATTTATGTTATTCCAGTTTTCTATCGTTCTAGGAAAAAAAGAATATTTAAAACAGTTAAGGTGGGCTCTGTATGGTACAAGATTTAATGGATGGAAGCTTCTAGTGCGTGATTCAGTAACAAAACTAACATATTTTTCTCGATTAAGTGTACAGTTATTATTCACTATTTTATGCAGGAGCTTGAGCCGTTCTACAGCGCGTCTAGAATCCAGAGGCGTAAGTCCTATGTCAGTCATGGCAGATGTAGGAGAAAAATTGCGGTCATATCTATTACAAATAAATCTAGCTGCCTTTGATTGTATTGCGTCAATCTGCTTTATATCACCTTTTAGATAGGGATCCCACACCACACAACCGTACTCTAAGATAGGTCTAATCAAGGTCTTGTACGCCGTTATTTTAACTTCCCTAGTTGAAGATTTTAAAGTTCTCTTGACGTATCCTAGCCTTTGCAGAGCACGAGAACAAATAGAACTGATGTGCTTATCCCATTTGAGACTAGGCGTGAAAAAAATACCCAAATACTTGTATTCGTGAACTTGACGCAGAATTATATTACGAGTACCATAGCTAAAAACAGACGGTTCCTTCTTATTAGTAAATGACATAACTACAGATTTCTCAAAATTAATTTCCATCTGCCACTTTTTACTCCAATTCAAAAACTGTTCAAGAGAGTCATTTAGTAAGGCATGGTCATCTACCGAGTTGATTTCGTTGTACAAAACGCAATCATCTGCATAGAGGCGAATTTTAACTTGAAGACCATTTGCAACGTCATTAATATAAAGTAAAAACAAAAGAGGACCTAAAACTGATCCCTGCGGGACACCGGAACTAACTGAGACATTGCTAGAATGAACATCCCTGTATGAAACAAACTGTGATCTATTTTTTAGGTAATCTTCGATCCAATTAACTAATGACGTATTATTTAATATCGCTTGTAATTTCTGAAGAAGCTTATGATGTGGTACCTTATCAAAAGCCTTAGAATAATCTACAAAGATGGCATCAAGTTGTACTCTTTTATCTAAAGCTAAAGCTATGTCGTGAGTGAATTCAAGAAGTTGGGTTGAGGTGGAGTAACCACGACGAAAACCATGCTGTTGAGGGCAAAGAATAAAATTAGTCTCGAGGTACTCAGATATCTGTTTATAGACAATATGTTCCAAAAGTTTGCATGAAGACGATGTGAGCGAAATGGGTCTGTAGTTTGTGACCATCTGTTTGTTGCCTGACTTGAACAAGGGGATAATTTTAGCCGACTTCCATGACTGAGGCACTGTTGCAGTAGAAATAGATTTTTTGAAAATGACAGATAGGTATTTTGAACTCCAAAGTGAATAACGGCGAAGAAAAGAATTTGGAATTCCATCAGGGCCAGGGCTTTTCTTACAGTCAAGTTTCATTAGTAGATTCAGGACACCAGAAACACTAATCTCTAAATCAGATAAAGCTGGGTATATACCTTCAAAGGAAAACTCTGAATCATTGCCGTTGTCACGACTGAATACAGATTTAAAATAATCATTGAAACAGTTCGCTATCTTTGTCGGCTCACTTACAGATTCACCTTCAATAGTAAAACTCTGTGATACACTACATCTTGGAATAATAGATCTCCAAAATTTGGCAGGATTTGATTTCATAAATTCAGACAAAGTTACATTAAAATATTTGGTTTTAGCTGTTAACATCTTTTCTTTCAAGGTTGTTTTCAGATATTCAAACGAGGTATGAACAACTGATTCTGTGTTATCTTTCGTTGAACGACGTCTCCTCTTCGTTTGCCGCATCAACTGCAGCACCTCTCTCGTAATCCAGGGGTGCCCAGGGTTCTTTTTCTTTCTAGTAACAGGTACAAATTTGTTGATGCATTTTTCTATAAGGGAGTTGAAATATCTAAGCAACGTATTGACATCAGCGTCTAGACTTATGGCACAAAAATCATCAAAATAAAAACTAAGTTCATCAATAATTGACACATCGTCAGCTCTGTTGAAATCAAGGAACGTGACGAATTCAGGGTTCGAATGCTTGACACGAATGTTAAGGCTGACAAGGACAGCTTTGTGATCAGAAATTCCCTCGACCACCTCGCAGTCATAACCTAGGTTTGCGATACTATGGGTTAGAAAAACAAGATCAAGAACAGAATTATCTCTGGTGCACGTTTTGACAACCTGATCTAGGTCGAATGACACAGCTATATCTACTAGAGCATCACAAATGGCCCTGTCGCGACAGCCAACCACTAGCGTTTCCCAGTTTATATCGGGTGCATTAAAATCGCCCAGCAAGATAAGCTTGAAATTCGCCAGATTGTATTTGTGAATGTAGTCATATATATGAAAGATCGTTTGCAGGCCCGAACTAGGAGCGCGATAAACCGCTCCGATAACAAGAACGAACTTATCAAGCTGCACCTTACACCATAAAGACTCTGTGTTAGGTAAACAGGGAAGAACCGAAAAGCTAATACCAGATTTAAAAAAAAGCGCGACACCACCACCTCTAGAAGACCTATCGCATCGTACCACGTTGTAATTAGGAGGTGTAAATTCGCAATCAAGAAGGCCATCGTGTAACCAGGTTTCCGTAACACACATCACGTGCGGTGAATAAGAAGCTGCAATGCACGAGAACTCTGTAAATTTAGGGACAAGGCTCCGAGCATTAATGTTTAATACAGACAATGGTTTATTCGGTAACTGTCAGTTCGATCCGGTGGCAAGAACCGGAGGAGGAACTTTTATCAGCGTTCTATTTGTTGAATCCCACGAGTATCGGTCGTTGTCAACAAGAGCGTAGTCGTAACGTAGACGGACCTTTGCGCCATTTCTTCGGAATTCGGCAGTACTAAGCCAGAGTTGTTTTCGAATGTCTCTAATACGAGGTGAAAAATCCTCGTTAATAAATATCCGTGTGCCTTTAAGTTTAGAAACATTTTTGAGTATCCGCATTTTGTCACGGAAGTCCATCAATTTAAAAATTATAGGTCGTATTTTACCTTGTGCGGGGATACCAATACGATGACAGCGTTCTATGGCATCGCAAGTCACAGACAGTTTTCTGGTCAACAGTTCAGTTACACTATCCAGTAGTGATGCAGGGGTTTCATTAACAGGCTCTTCTAGACCATATACGACCAAGTTGTTTCTGCGAGAACGGTTTTCCAAATCATCATTCTTACCTGTAAGTTGACAGACAGCTGTTTCGAGAGCGGCACTCTTTCTTTCTAGACACTGCAACCGTCGGGCGATATCAGATATCTGGGACGAGCCAGCTTCGATTGCAACAAGTCGAGATTCGTAGGCGGCAAACTTAGCATCCAGAGCCTCTTGTCTGTTTTTGATAGAAGTAACGTCCGCGGCAATTTGTGTTTGGCCAGTTAGTAATTGCTGAAGGAGAGCTAGCGTCTCGGGGCCAGGGTTAGATTCAATATCGCCACTACACAACAGGATAGATGAACATATCCTAAACCATGACAATATATCAGAACAAATGCCAACCAGTGGGCCCGGTAGCAGCAAAAGAAAGCGATCATCGGACTTAAAACCGTCTGGCAAAGAAACAAACTCTACCTGTAGGGTGAGACAGAAGAAACTCAGTGGCATATTCGTCTCGCTGCCACCAAGCCCACTGAAGAGAAGAGACTGCGTCGATGGCTTTATGGCATCTGTAGCGGAAGTAGGTGTCGCTGCGGTGCTTCCGTAGAGGGTCCAATCCAGTGTTGCTAGATGAAGTGCAGGCCGGTCGTCAAAAGGTGTCGAATCATCACACGATGACGGGGGTTCAGGAACCAGAAAGCGGGAACTGGCGAACCCGTGCGGCAACAAATCCGCGGTGACGCGGCATACGGAAGCCGGGGATGACCAGACCGTTCCGAAGACAGCGATCTGTAGGGTGAGACAGAAGACACTTCAGTGGCATATTCGTCTCGCTGCCACCAAGCCCACTGAAGAGAAGAGACTGCGTCGATGGCTTTATGGCATCTGTAGCGGAAGTAGGTGTCGCTGCGGTGCTTCCGTAGAGGGTCCAATCCAGTGTTGCTAGATGAAGTGCAGGCCGGTCGTCAAAAGGTGTCGAATCATCACACGATGACGGGGGTTCAGGAACCAGAAAGCGGGAACTGGCGAACCCGTGCGGCAACAAATCCGCGGTGACGCGGCATACGGAAGCCGGGGATGACCAGACCGTTCCGAAGACAGCGATCTGTAGGGTGAGACAGAAGAAACTCAGTGGCATATTCGTCTCGCTGCCACCAAGCCCACCATTACATTAAGTATTAAGTTGGTTACAGTGCTACCGAGCTTTAAAGAAATCCACCATTACATATAATTATACAGTTTCAACTTGATTACCAAAACGGCCCGCAGGATCAGGTGTAACATATCAGTCATGGATTATCACAATTATTACAGCCCTTTCTTTTCTCATTCCGCTGGAAGCAAGCTTCAAGAACTCGCGCGTTCTAGAAACGTGTTATGAAATGAGCACACAGCAGCATTTAGGATTTACGAGATTGTAGGTAAATGAAATCCCGTGACGCAATTTTTTTTTTTTTTTTGCACAGCCTTTTGATTTTTTTTCTTCCGTGCAAGCCGCGACCAGCGCAATACTGGTTCCTATGTCAAGATTCATGGATGCAGCGTTTGTCAAGATTCATGGATGCAGCGTTTATATTCCTAAGACTGAGTGGAGAAAAAAAATATGTAAGCGAGGTGTGTGTCAGTTGACGGCACTTAAAAAACAAATGGCATTGATAGCACATTCATTGTCAACAGCGCGTGGCCGAACCGTTTTGACATGAGCCGGTAACCGTTATTTTTTTCCGGTTCAGTTCCGGTTCGGGTTCATCGCGATAACAATATAACGGTTCGGGTTCGGGTCCAGTTCCGGAAAAAATACCGGTTCGGTTCCGGTTTTCGGTTCGGTTCGGTTCCGGTTCGACACCCTGATATTATGTTTATACTCGAGTATTTGTGATCGAAAGAAGAAATGAGAAGTGGAACCTGTGGAAGGAACCACTTTATGTGTTTCGTCATAACATCGTGCTCCGCCTTCCATACAAATCAAAATTAGTTGGCTTTGATTATTCCTCGACATGGTGTAACAAATAATGTGATGAGGAATTTAGGAAAAACCATGCACGATCACAGTTTTTATTTATTAAAAAAAACGTCCAGGAAAATCCTACGCTTGATTTTAGCATAAAACAACCTAGTTCTGAATAGTATTTTCTATTGAAGCACTTCTAGCGCTAAGTTTGATCGTCTGTTTAGGGCGTGAATAAAAGGTCAAGTAACTCTGGGTAATCTTTTTAAGCTATGTTATGACAAAACGTAATATCCTGTTGGAGGAAGTGCCGTTTTATTAGAGTTGAACGCCAGGTACGACTACTTATTCAAAACAATTTCGATCTAGAGGCACCTATGTTTTTGAACTGTAATTTGTTCTGAGCCTAATTACTCTCTGAAGCGTTAAGAAAATCTGGTTCTAATGTTATTTTTTTAGAAAAAAAAAAGAACTTTCTAATCACTGCTCGTTTTTTTTTCGTCTAAAAAAACCACTGTAGTTATATTGTTAAATAGGGTGGCATACTTTAAAAGAGATATCCGTCTTCAAAGGTTTTTCGACGACCTCAGAACTTTTTCAGCTCGTAAAGAACGGTTTCAACTCAAGCATATCGCCCCCTGGCGGACTAGAATGGCAACTGGGCAATGAAGACCTTTTTTGTATCAAAAAGGACCTTGGAATAACCTTTTATAGGCTTCTCCCGAATACCTTTTATGCGGGGTAATTAAGATAACTTTAAAGGCACTGCCCCATTTTCTTACGTTAAGTTAGGTTACGTATAAGTGACCGAAACATTCGTGTCTCGAATGTCGCGTGTCAAGCCTTCTCTTTTAACTGGTGGCCTCGCTTAATATGGAGCACAGAGGTCCCGGTGACTTCAACGTAATATTTCGTAACGTGACTTAACCTAAGAAAATAGGACAGTGTGAACCGGCTTTAAAGGTGGAGACTACGGACGAGCCGAAGAACCCTTAAGAGCTATTTTGCGACCAGATTTTATTTAAGTGTAACGTGAATGTTACGCTGCAAAACAAACCGGAAAAATCGGAGTCTGCACATAGTAAGCTCGAACGTTCACTGAATGGGAACGGGGTGATAAATATTTCCTTGTAAGATTACAAGTCATAGTTTTCTTTTAATAAAAGATAGAAACGACAAACTTGCCAAAGTCAACGACGGTTCTCTTCGCAGGTGATGGCATCGGCGAAGAGCGTAACTTGTGGCACCATTTCCCGTGAGATGCAGTGTGCTTACAACAAAGTGGGTCGTCTGCTCGCCGCTCCTTTCGGGAGCAGCGAGCAGGCATGTTTCCTGACGCGGTCGTCTGCGAACACGTGCGTCGTTGACATTGGCAAGTTCGTTGGTCTAATGTATTTCACAGCGAAAGAACGCCCAAATATTTTGCAAGGTAGAACTGACCTCCTTTATTCGGTCAAAGTTTGAGGTTTTTATAAGCAGATGGCGATTTTTCGGGCTTGTTTTACACAAGATCCACTGTAAGTACCGTTTATAATCGAGTGCGTTTTATTCTCGCAGGCTTACCCCACCTCGACAAGACGAGATTTGAGGCCGGGCTCGACGCTGGCGCATCGAAGATGAGGTCTTTCTGCATGGTGGGATTCTCCGACGCTCTTGACTGGAGACCCATCCTCTTCCAGGAGCCCTCCATCGAGCAGAGCGCATGCGCCCTCTGTGGACTGGTATCCCTGAAAGCTTCCAGGCTGCCTTGTGGCCACACGATCTGCTCCGAGTGCCACGAGCACTGCGCTCGGCAAGGGAGCACCTGTCCCCTCGACGAGGAGTCCTTCGGCGACGATGACTTTGGCCGAATTGATCTTCCACAGGGTTACATCGGAAAGCGCCGGGTGAATGCCATTTTCTGCGTGAATCATAAGTAACAGTATGATGCCTCGAGCGCCTGTCCGAATGGTGCGTTCAGCCTCCTACACAACCCAAGCATCAAGAGTGGTCGCGAAGTGGCCACAGATTACGTCGCCAAAGTAGGTGTGTCATGCTGTCGGAATTCGCGATCCTGCCGGCTTGTAAAACTTCCGGCAAGAAGCACGATAGAATGCAAGTTTCGCTGTCCTCGCGGCGTCCCAACTCTTGGCTACCGTTGCCTCCGTAAACTGTCAAACCTGGGAGCGATCTCCAATACCAGGCGTCTGCTGCATGACACTGCCATGAATGGAGGTGGGGGATCGGGGGCTGAGTGTGTAGGCGCACCGCAGCTCGTCACGGAGTGTGAAATCTCGCAATGAAGAACCCAGCGATCCTGGCTTTAGTTCCCACGTTTGCACGCTTCAATTTAGAGGAGCATCGTACAGGCATTCGGTGTTGTAATCAGTACTTCATGGGACACTTTAAATTTTTCACTCTAGCGGGGACACTGAAAACACCTGGCTGAATTCCTTATTTACAACGGAAACAGAGACCCCCGTTGGAGCTTACTTTCCGCTGTCTACGTATAAACAACACAAATTTAGTTTTATTAGCTGTAAACGAAAGAAGCACTTTTGTGAAGGCAGTAAACATAATGGTTAACGACGTATTCCAGAAAGGCAGTATTTCCTTGCTTCTGAACAAAACATAGAAAACGATATGGGTTAGCAAAAAAGAAAAAGGAAAAAAAGCAAATGCAGGAAAATTGATTTGCTGAATTTTATTTCTCAAATTGCCGTAATAATTGGAAGGAATGTTCTAAAAAAAAGAAAGGTCCAGCCCGCTGTTGCAGCCTAGCTCTTTGTCCTGCTCGTTCCCTTGTTCAAATATTAGAAAGACCATGTCACCGCATATATAACCGTGTGCACATTTTTTTACTGTTCAAACTCTGATATCTTGAATGTCTTACGTCCTTTATGAATATTCTTGCAGGAACAATACCGTGAGCCCAGCCTGCGTCAACATGCTGAAATAGCTGCATTAACCAAATAACTTCGCAGAACTAGGAACGAGAAAATAAACGTTCTGCCTTTAAAAAAAAGTGAGGTCTATTGGAAGCAAAATAATAAAAATTACAAAACAAGCGTAATATGTGAACATTAAACGAAAAGACTTTCTTGACAGGATATAAAAGTAAAGGACTTCACTTAAAGTAAAACAAAAAATAAAAATATCAAAACGACAGGGTCAATACAGTTTTTAATCTTAGGCCCTTTAGAACTACACCCTACAAATTAATACGCGTCTTTCTTCTGGCACTGAAAAAAAAATGTTGCAATTCTTGGCACCATTAAAGGGGCCCTGCAATCATATTTAAGCGTCTACCTTTTATGCGGTTTCCACGTCTCTTGGGGTTCGGGCAAGCAAGCGGGCACGGAAAGAGTAGCTAAATATCAGTGCGCCATATTTTAACCGGACGACACGGAAACCTCCTCCACCGACGAGGGCGACCCGCGGTACCGAAAGCGCGCAAAATGTGACGTCTTTGGTCCTGGGCTTGCTACTGGTCAGAGCCACTAAAAACTTATTTTTGGTCGAAATACAAAATATAAGTGGCGCGAACCGTTTCAATTATTTATAAAAGTGGTTTTTGTTCACTATTATAGATGAAAAAAAGAAAGAAATGCAGTTTATAAAGTACGGAAACAAGAAGTGACCCGTCGACATACCCGCCGCCAAGCGGTGGAAAAGGCGGCGCATACTAGAAAGGAGTAGTCGGATAAGGCACCGACACGGAAAAATCCCGGATGTACTAGGTGGCGCTGCAGTCGTATGGACAGGAGGAACCGACCGGCTCCGAGCGTTCCGAAGGCCTTCGGCGAGAGGCTTTGTCTTGCGGTTTGGCCGTTTCGCGGTATGGCAGCGCGAAGTGTCATGCCGAATTAGTGTTTAATCGCGCAGCAAACGCAATGAAAGCCGCTTTGGCTGCCCGCTGCATACAGCCTATCCAGAACATGCTTTAGTGGCGCCCTCTGGCGCCGTCGACACGGAGTGCGGCGGCCGTGAGCGCTCGAGGAGCTCACTATGCCTCCTCTAGTTCACGGCCACTCAAGCCCTGAACTAGCTCAAGTCGTGAGCTACGACGTCATCAAGGAGGTTATTTTTTGCTTGTTTTTGTAATTCTAAATTGCCTATAACTTTTAAAATAAAGCGAATTTCGCGAAAAGAAAAGTTTCACTAAGTTACTACGTTCAGTGCGCTCAGGTTCGGTGCAAATTAAGAAACAGTAAAAGTCCTTGCAGGGCCCGCCTTCGAGTCCGCGCCAAGCCGGTCAGGATTTGAAATATTATCGTCGCCTCTTATCGACCAAAATAGAACTCGTTAAAATGCCACGTATGCTTTAACTACAATCTTAAAACATATCACCGTTATATGTTTTTTTGTTTTTTTCTTTCTTGACAAAAATTAACCCGTACTTCCGCCGTTCTTTTTTTGCCTAGGTGGCTTGCTGGAACAAGCACAATGGCTGCAGCTTCATAGGTCCTGTTCAAAGTCTCCCGAAGCACTACACCGAGTGCACTTTCCACGTCGTGTCCTGCCCTAGGTGTCAGCTGGCCGTGCTGAGGAGCGAGATTGTGGGACATTGCAAAAATGGTTGCCGCGCTCCCACCGCTAGACCCACAGCGGACACAGATCATGCCACCCAGGGTTACGACCGAATCGAGCAAACGAGTAACGAACTCAAAGAAGCCTTGGGCAAACTCTCTGAAGACCTGTCCTGTCTGAACACCAGCCTCAACCAGTGCCGGGAGGACGTCAGGGCCGCTGAAAGGAGGTCCAAAGAACAGCTGAATGCTCAATCTGTAGACCTATCCTGTCTGCAGTCCAGCCTCAGTCAATGCCTGGAGGATATCAGGGCAGCAGGAAGAAAGTCCAGCGAGCAGATTGAAGCTCAGTCTGAAGGCCTGTCCTGGCTTTGCGCCTGCGTTAACCAGTGCCGGGAGGACGTTAGGGCTGCTGACCAAAGGTCTAATCAACAGCTTGAAGCTCAGTGCGCAACACTTCTTGAACACTTAGCCAGACTATATATTGAAGGTCCTGTTTTTCCAGAGGTCGGGCTGAGTGCAGTGGCAGGCGTCCCCAGTGAAGTAATTGGATGCCAGGCTGAAAACTTGCGTGGATGCGTCTCACGTCCGTTGAACGCCACAGGGAGCATGCGTCAAAAGGGACGGAGGGTTCGTGAAGCAAAGGGATTCCACTGGCATTTTGAGGGATGGGCAGCCCTGAAGCAAAAAACAGTAAAGGAAGGGGTTGGGCTAGCTGAGAGCCCCCGGCAGTATGTGTGTGGCTACAAGGTGTCGATCGTGATCATTTTGAGAAAGTACGGAGATACCGTTTATTTCAGCTCTGGGCTGAGAATTTATCCTGGGGACTACGATAGAAGGCTCGAGTGGCCGTTTAGCAAGAAATTCATGGTCGGCGTCATTCACAACAGGGACAGAGCAAAGAGCTACTATGGGAGGACAGATGCGAGTCGAAAAGAAAGGGAACCCGCATTCCAAAGGCCGAACAGGATTGCCAATGAGATCTTTCCATGTTTGATACCGTATTCCCTGGATAATATTGCATGGGATGGGTTTGTTGAACAAGACATACTCCACCTGTTCCTTCTGGTAGAGCCAAAGTAGGCTCGCTCTTTTTAGTGATGTGAAATTACATGAATCATTTAAGAAAAAGCCGCAAAGATTGATTTCTGACAGGTATCTTTAAAATGTCCAATTCATTCCCGGTACAGTTGAACTGAATAAAAAATGATTGAATTACTATTGTGTGCTGGAACAGTATCACGATTCATGTATGTGGACATCTTTTCCATCAACTGCTTTGCACATGAGTTTTCTTTTACTTTACTTACTCTAGAAAAGGTAATCTATAATTAATATAACCATTATACCCGCTTTTTATGAATACTTATCTGGCGCGGTGGAAAAGATATTATGCACACGCTGCGTGCTTTGCACAAGGATTTTTTCAATGAATCTTGGCGTAGAGAAACCACGCTTTGCCATCTGAGGAGAGCGCAATACGGAGCGCAAGTTTTCTGCTTTTGCTCAGGTGTTGCGATAATATTAGAACGTCGAGCTCTTATTGGCTGATTTAAAAATTTAGCGGGAAATTGAATTGGTGTATAGGCCTGTGACGTCCTATGATGCAATGCACGTGGTTACGCCGACGGCGACTCCGCGAAACACGGGAACGAGCGCCTGAGAACTGCGGTCTAAACAAAGAGTAGGTGGAGTAGACCTCAAGCAGGGTTGTAAAGTACCTAGGAAGACGTAACAGGAAATCGGTATCTAGGTACTTTTGTTGTACCTGAGGTACAAACCTAGGTACTTTCGTTTCTCGGCATCTGTATCTGTGTCTTAGGTACATTTTTCAGTAACTTGTGACTAAATGAAGTTACTTTTTACAGGTAATTTTTTCTTCACTTATCAAAATGATAGAAACTATAAATCTTGAAGTATTAACACACTACCATGTGCCATGATAAACGTTGAGTTGGGTACGACCTGGGAGACACTTACTTGATCGAACGACGTTTTAGCGAACGAAGCCCCGTCTATGGTTTTTCATCGAACGACGCTTTAGCGAATGGCGGTGTTAATTTGAGCGAACGGTGGATTAGCGATGCCGTTCAAGCGACACCAATTTATGGAATCGCTTCGGAAATACGTTTAGGGAAAATAGCGACCTGCTTCCTTCATCTCAAACTGAAATCGACTTCATTGCGCATTTGAAGCTCCTCTGACAGCTATACAAGAGGAGATAACTTGAAAGATGTGCACAGTTTCTGTTGCCTGTATGTTCTCCTGATGGTGGCTCTCTTCTGCCATAGATACAATATAAAATATAATTAAATATTAATTATAATTACAACCATAAAGAAATGTATCATCGCGGATCTATTACAGTTTCCACTCAATAAATTGGACTCAAATTCGGCGGTTATCAAAACTGAGAAAGTTCCGGAAGAAAAAAGAAAACGGTTAGTTTTCTTCAAACTAGCGAATGAAGAAGAAAAAAACGAGGAAGCTTGAAGCCTTTCGCTCGATGTCGCGAAGGTTTGGTGCATATGCTCTCGACTCACGCGTTTCTTCATGCGGCCGACGTATCTGGGCCCTTCGGCGTCAGCGCCGGCTCATGTGAATACGGTCTTCCTTATTTCTCGCATTGACACCAATAAAGCACCCTTATCGAACTCGTTTATTGTTTATCCTTAGTATGCAAAGCTTTCGTTCCAATATATATTCACGAATTCGGATAAAATAAAGTATTTTTAAAGTAACTGTACCCGTACCTAGGTACGTTTTTTTAAGCGAGTACCTAGGTACGTGCCTAGGTACATTTTCGTATGAGTAACTAACTGTATCTTAGGTACATTTTTGAAGTAACTTTCACAACCCTGATCTCAAGGAATCGAGCATTGAGGTCTACACTCTATCCTTTCAGTCAAAGCCAATCAGAGGTCGGCGTCGTTCTGACGTCACCGCAACTCCTGCGCAAGAAGCAGACAACCTGCTCTCCGGATTGGTTACTGACAGACTGTTAGCGGCAGGACATTTTTCTGCGAAGCCCGAACCCCAGCAGCTGTTCGTTGCCTTTCGTTGAGATTGGGCTTCGCTTGAACGCTCGACGTTCACGAGACTCAGAAGTGTTATCGAAGGTTGAAAGCTTACGCTGGAGGTGCGGCAAAAGAAAGACCTCCCGGCCGTTCCCATATTGTAAGGGTGTATACGGGAAGACTCTGGTGGAGAGGAGGAGGTGAGCGCGTGCTGCGACATCAACGCGATCCATAAAATCATGGTGCAGATTCTTGACCGTCAAGCTAAAACAAGCGACATATAGCTTGGTTCCGCTCACAAGAGTGGAGACGAAATTTTTACAATAAAAATGAAGAAGGAAGAATAAAAAATGCGTATTCACTTGTGACGGTGTTAACGCCGCAGGTCACGCATTATGCTGCTCCGACCGTGCGTAACTTTTGTCACTCTTGCGATTTACAATCAGGGCGTGGTATTCCCGCGTTTAATTCTCTCTCTCTCTCTCTCTCTCTCTCTATATATATATATATACATATATATATATATATATATATATATATATATATATATATATATATATATATATATATATATATATATATATATACCGGGTGTTCAATTTTAACTCGAACAGACTATTAATAAACGTTCGTAAACGATGCACTAGCACGGTTTGTACAAGTGAGCTATACGGCCAAGGAGACATATGTGACTGGCTGATCTTTGTGATAAGTCGGATAATTAGCTAAACTTTCTTAATCAACTTTTTAATTTGTAAAAATATTCGTGTGGTATCTACTAGAAACATCTTGAGCATAATCGAAAACCATTGTATTCTCAGGAATGACAAATGATGAGGCGACAAATACTGAAATAAACTAAACGTTTAAGGGGGCGAACTTGTGCTTAAAACAAAAAGAGAACAGAAGAAAACAATCGAGCGTCGCGGGCGCGTCGATAGCGGCGTAACAGCAGGATTCGATCGCCGGGTCAAGACTAATTTCGGCTCGCCAGGCAATGCACTTTTTGTACCCCCGCGTGTGTCTCTGGATCATTTAGCCTAGATTATTCGGCGCGTACAACATTCGGAACTCGATCAGACGAGAATGTTCTCGAACTTGCGAGAACGCCAAGTTGAAAGAATAAATAAAATGTCAGTCCGCTAACTGGAATCGAACCTAGACTTTTCGCGCGACAGTTAAGCACGGTAACCATTTTGCCACGCACGCGCTCCCTCAGCGATGCGCGTGGCATTACTCTTCCCTCGATGCGACGTGCTGGGAAACAAAACAGCAAAAAAAAAGTCAAACTACGTAGACTTGTACAGCACAATCCTATCGAGTGTATTACAAAACACAATTCACAGTCTTATCGATCGCAGTACGGCTTGAGGCGTACGACGTGGACAATTTCCGGTCATGGAGGGCAGCGTAATGAAGGCCGTGTTCCGTCGGGCATCCCCTTATAGTTCAAATCCTCGAGTCGACGGAGCACTTTGTAGGGTCCGAAGTAGCGTTTCAGGACTTTATAGCTGAGTCCACGGCGGCGAATCGGTGTCCACACCCACACCCTGTCCCCGGGTTGTAGCGGCCAGTTGCAACACGTTGTTGGGCTTTAATCTGAAGTCTAGCGAGCTGACGGAATTCTTCTGCCCGTTGGGCAACCACCTGGGCGTCGTCGCTTTCGTCGACGACGGAAGCGACGTGGGGTAACATCGCGTCCAGCATTGTCGTTACCTTGCGACCACGCACCAGTTGAAAGGGTGTTACCCCACACTCTAAAAAAAAGGATGTAAAAGAGTGTATCGTTACACCCTTTGACCCATATAATACTCCCCAAAACTTCATTTCGACGTACTGAGCCCTAGAGTCGAACAGACGGCCCCAAATTTTACGAGGGGCTTGATAACGGTGCGATATAACTTTTTGAATCGCTAAAGTACGTTTCAATATAAAGACCATATAAAGAAAACACCGTGTTTTTACAGTAGGGCCAAGAAAACCCCGAATATGTTTTTCGTGGTCAGTAAAACGTACATTATCTATTTTAATAGGTTGTACCACATGGCTATCAAGCAACTCGTAAAATTTGGGGCCGTCCGTTCGACTGTAGGACGCTGTACGTCGAATTGAAGTTTTGGGGTGTATTATACGGGACAAAGGGTGTAACAATACACCCTCTTACACCCCCTTTTCTTGAGAGTGCAGTGGTCTTTTGTACGACTGTGTTGTAGGCAAATGTCACGCACGGCAACACCTCGTCCCATGTCTTGTGCTCCATGTCGACGTACATGGAGACCATGTCGGCGATGGTCTTGTTAAAGGGCAACTCCGCTCAATTTCGAAAATTTCGAGATAGTGACTGATTTTGATTTAAGAAGCACTCAAAAACAATCCCCGATCCTTTGTTTCCCGAAAAATAAAATATTTTTCGTGCAATTTTACTTTAGCCATGATCGCAAACCGAAACCGGAACGGTGACGAAGCCGGACAACATTGTGTCTTCGGCATCACTGAGCATGTACACCCACGTGATATACCAGGGGTCACGTGACCTATCACGCGGACATGCGCTTCGCAGTCATCGTCGCGTCGTCTGCAGGGCACGTGCCGCCGCTACATCGTTTTGTCCGACAGATTTCGTGGGAAAAACACACGAAAAGGTAAGTTTCCCCAAAAGCATAATTTGTAGGAATTCGTGGAAGGCAAACTCTAGGTAAGTGCACGTAAATACGCGTTGCCGAGTCTGAGGTTCAGACGTGTCTTGCTTTTAGTATTTTGTCGCCGGCAATTTCTGCTGAAACTTAAATTGTGTGTAGTTAAAATTATTGTTTCAGTGCGTTTAATGTACGCGTATAGGACTGTCCCCGTTTGTTGGTAAAAATGGCTCATCTCGTCAACAGCTCAGATGGTAAGCGTTTCCACTCATAATTTCACTGTTTCAGCAAAACGCGAGAAAGCGCCGATGCCGTGTTAGCGCCCGCTCATTCACACTGGAAGCGGATCCGTGTGGAAGCGGATCCGTGTGAACGCTGCGTGAAGGGTATGACCTCTCGAAAGCTCACGATCGCAAATTATGTTGCGTTTCACTGAAGTGCCCTTCTTGCATCAATCGCACAACACGTATTTATGCCAAAGCGATGTGCTCGAGTCAAACAGCGATGCCATACACGGGCGGCGGCCACTCGTTTCGTTGGTTTTTGCGAAACGGAAACAATAGAGCCACCCCTCTGCATCGCCTATGCTA